TACAAAAATACAGACATCAAAGCAACATGGTACTTGCAAAAACTAAGATACCTCACCCGTCATGGTCTGCTTTGTGACTCTAAAATACAACATATACAGTGGGAATGTGTAATGAGCAGGAGTTTATTTCTTGCAGCTCGGTGGGAGGGGAGCTCTGGAAGGTGGCACAAGAATGGGCTGAGGGCCTTTTCTGCTGCAGTGTCACTTGGCATAAGGCAGTGGACAAGAGAAGTGAGACACCCTCAGCTTCAACTAGAAGCCTTCTAAGGACCATCCCCACCTGGGAGGGCTGATTCCCATGACCAAACTACCTCTTAAAGGCACCACCTTTAATGTTACCACATTAGGGATTAGGATTTAACTGATGAATTGTGCAAGGCACACAGACTTTCAAAACATAGCATTATGCCCCCAACCCCCACAAATTCATATGCCTCTCACATGCAAAATACATCCATTCCATCGTGATAGCTCCCAAACTCTTCTCTCTTTCTAACATCCACATTAAACTCCAAGTCCAAGGTCTTACCTAGACAGCATGTGCATGCACCTCAGGCACAATTCATTCTGAGGCAAGTTTGCCTTCAGTTGTGAGCCTGTGAAATCAAACAAGTCATGGACTTCTGAACACAGTGATGGGCCAAGTGTGGGAGAGGCATCTCTATTCAAAGGGATAAACAGGCAAGAAGAGGGCCATAGCGGGCCCCAAGTAGACCAAACGCCAAGCAGAAAGGACTAAATCTTCAAACTTGAGAACAATCATGCCTGACTCCACATCCCCCCTGGACCACGTGGGTGGAGGTTGGGACACCAAACCCCAAGACAGTCCTGCTCCCCGGCCCTGCTGAGTGCAGCCTGTCAGGCTTCAGTTCTCCCACACATCTGTGGCTATCCCTGGCAGGTACTGCCTGCTGCAGAATGTGAAGTTCTCAGCAGCTGGACCCCAGGGCCCCCAAAGGCACTACGCTAGTGGGGGCTGTCTGTGGGTTCTGTGGAGATCTAGATGGAGACAGCCGTGCCTCCACAGCTTGCCCTTTCTGTGCACCTGCAGAATGAGCGCCTCATAGACACTCTCAGGCCTGTGCTTTATACTTGTCAGAGCAGTGGCCAGAGCTGAGCCTGGGCTTGCATGCACTGGAGCTGGGGTGTCTGAGGAGCAGACACTGGAGGTGGCCCTGGGCAGCAAGCCCCAAAGTCTCATAGTCACCCTGGGCCTCTCCTGCATTGTGCCCTCCATTCGTGCCCTGGCGTTCTGGGAGCCGCAGCCTTGAGGCTTTCTGAAATGTCCTGAGGTCAGTCCACCACTGTCCTGATGACATCTGGCTTTGTTCTAGCCTCACTGATCTCTTTGTTAAAGCTCTGCCTGGCCACAACTGTGGTTTTGCTTCCTAATTCATTGTTTTACATGACCAGCCTGGAGACTTTCCAACTGTTTACATTCTCTTTCCCTTTTCATTATAAATTCTACCTTTGAGTCATTTCTTTCTTTTTGAATGTTTCCAGGGTAAAAAGAGCTTCTCAGCCTGCAGCAGCTGGAAAGCAGAGAGGGGTCAGATGTGGAGGAAGATACCCCCTTCTAGGACATGGGCCCAGGGTCACACTTCCTCCATCACGGTCCCACCTTCCAGTGGTCCACCAGCTGTTTGGATTAGTGGATTATTCCATTCCTGAGGTCACAGCCCTCAGGACCAAATCATTGCCTTAAGGTCTCTGGACACACAGGATTTGGGGTCATCCCAGATGGAATTCAAGTAGACCTAGGCTTGGTCGAGCCGCCCAGTTCTCCCAGCCTCTACCACTTACCTGATTCCAAAAGCAGCTTGCATACTGGGTGGTATTTGTCCTGACAGCACCCACTTTTCTGGTTCCAATTTTTGGTTTAGTCTATATTTGCACTATATCAGAATGCCACAAAGCAGGTCATTTAAAATGAAAGAAATTTGTTTCTCACCATTTTGGGAGAGGGGAAGCCCAAGACAGAGGAGCTGGCATCTGGAGAAGGCTTTCCTAGGGCATCATTACATGGTGGAGGGAAAGAGAGGGAAGATCTGCCCTTCCACCTTCTGGCCTTTTAACAGCCCCTAATCTCACTCATGAAGGATCTTCCCTCCTGACCAAATTGCCTCCTAGGGGCCTTCCCTCTTACAGATATCCTAGTGGAAGTCGGGTTTTACCCTCTGAATTTTGAGGACACACAAACATTCAAACAACTACACAGTCCAATGAAACACATATGGTGACTTAATCTTGAACAAAGATGTCATGAACACACAGTGGGGTAAGAGCAGGCTTTTTAGCAGTGCTGGCAAGTGCCCATGTGCAGAAGAGAGGAGTGAGGCCCTCCTTTCCCCCTTACTCAAACACACACTCACTGGTTAAAGACCTCAGTGCAACACTCAAAACAACAGACCCACAGAGGAAAGCGTGATGGAAAAGCAGGATTTGGGATGAACTCCAAAACACAAGCAACAACAGAAAGATCAGACAGAACTATCTCGGATTAAAACCTCTGCCAAGCCAAGGAACCATCCACAGTGAGGAGACCGCCTATAGGAGAGAAGATACCTGGCAAGGTATTAATATCCAAAATAACAAGAAGAGCTCAAATAACTCAGCAGCACATCAACCAACAACCCAGTTAAAAACTGGTCAACACCCTGTGTAGACATTTCTCAAAATATTGTGTATAGGTGGCAAAAGGGG